GGGGGGAAATCTGCTGGTGGGGGGGGGGCGCACGCCTCAGGGCAGAGTGGGGAGGTGCAAGGTGGAAGTTTCGACCTAGGGCGCGAAACTTCCTTGCACCGGCCCTGTGTGACACCTAGGACAAGTGCCTGAGCTTAGACCTCGCAGATGAAAGGTTGTGTGTCAAGAACAATGCCATCCCCCTATGAAAAAGCACTACCACCAATTGATATTATTTTGGCCCATCTATCAGTATCCAAAGATAGCAACCACTGAACAGACACAAAATGTGTTAGTGCTGGGAAACATGCTCATCTATGTCAGTAGAACCCAGCTCAAGATAGTCCTTGAAGGTAACTGTAGCCTCAGATAACAGCATCAGTAATTCAGAAGTCTCTTCGAAACATATACAAAAGTTTATTTAGCTACAGTATTAAAATAATATCACATAAAAATGCATAGAAATCCCATTGTTAATTCCACACACTAGAAGGGTCAGATATCCAGATATAAACATGTTCTTCATGGCACTTGATATCTTAGCCATAAAGATGTATTGATAGTTCATTAAGAGTTTCAGGCTTCAAACATTGAGCAGCCATTGCAGAGAACTTGCTCGCCAGTATCACTGTAACTAGAAGAGAAACAGTCACATGTCAATTGAGTGTATGCTATTTTTGACACAGTATAAAGCTTCCACTCCTTTCTTCAAAACTCACCATAAACAAAAGACTCCTGAAAGAACTAAGACTTACACCATTTCTCTACATTAGATCAGGGGTTCTCAAACTTAATTGCACTGCAACCCCCCTTCTGACAACAAAAATTACTACATGACCCCGGGGGGGACAAAAGGCTGATCCCACCCAACCCACCCAAGCCCCCCCTGCAGGGGGGCAAAAGCTGAAGCTCAAGGGCTTCAGCCCAGGCGGTGCAGGGTTTGTAACCTGAGCCCTACCACCCAGGGCTGAAACCCTAAGGCTTTGGCTCCGGGCAATAGGGCTTGGCGTTCAGCCCTGTGCCCCAGCAAGTCTAAACCAGCCCTAGCGACCTCATTAAAATGGGGGTCCCAATCCACCGTTTGAGAGCCACTGCATTAGAGCAACACTAATGGTGCTGTAAATTCTTTCCAGCTACTTCACAAATATGTATTCCTTCTATCAGCTCTATAGAGCTATGAGATGAGACATGCATTTCTCACCTCCCAGAACATTTGGATAGAAAGCTCAGTCACTTACAGTAAGAGTAGATTACGTCATACACAATATCCTTTCCTATTTCAGATAGTTTAATGACAAAACTACATGCCCCTGAAAGTTTCAGGATCACTTGTGTAGAACATGAAGATACAGCAGGGGCGGGCAAAGTTTTTGGCCTGAGGGCCGCATCGGGTTTCGTAAATTGTATGGAGGGCCGGTTAGGGGAGGGGGTCGTGGCCCAGCCCCCACCTCCTATCTGCCCCCCCCGGGACCCCTGCCCCATCCAACTCCCCCTGTTCCCTGATGGCCCCTTTGGGACCCCTGCCCCATCCACACACACCCGCTCCCTGTCCCCTGACTGCCCCCAGGCCCCAGCTGCCCCATCTAACCCCTCCTCTCATTCCTGATGGCCCCACTAGGACCCCTGCCCCATCCAACCACCCACTCCTTCCTGACTGTCCCCAGGACCCCTGCCCCTATTCAACCCCTTGTTCCCTCCCCCCCGACCACCATCCACACCCCGCCCCCTGACCACCGCCCCAAACTCCCCTGCCCTCTATCCAACCCCCCCATGCTCCCTGCCCTCTTACCGCGCTGCCTGGAGCACCGGTGGCTGGCAGCGCTACAGCCGCGCCGCCCGCCTGGAGTCAGGCCGCGCTACCGCCGCCACCACGCTGCACAGAGCACCGGGTCAGGCCGGGCTCTGCAGCTGCATTGCCCAAGGAGCTCACAGTCCTGCCGCCCAAAGCATTGTGCCAGCGGTGGAGCAAGCGAGCTGAGGCTGCGGGGGCAGAGGGACTGCAGGGGAGGGGCCGGGAGCTAGCCTCCCAGGCCAGAAGCTCGGGGGGCCGGACTGGGACAGTCCTGCAGGCCATAGTTTGCCCACCCCAGAGATACAGTATGTGAAGGCACAGCATATGAATGGACCATCACAATCTAATGCATACTGCATCCTTTCCCTTATTGAAATAGTATATTCTAAAAAGCTGCATGAGGCACTTACTCAATAATCGAACACAAGGAACAGGCAACAGCATTACAGCACTTGCAGAGTTTGCTGCAACTCTGGCATACGAAACGATCACACTGTGTGCAAGCTTCTTTGATGTCAACAGTTCTTATGCAGGAGGAACAAGCTTTGGAAACTCCCGCTGGCGGAGCTGTTTTAGAAATACGTTTTTAGATTCTTATACCAGGACAGAAGATTTGAGCATCAGAGGTTTAAAGTTCTACAAGGTTCAGGATAGTATATTACCTCCATATTGACGTTATGACTGCAGTTGCATTGGTGGTGTTGGAAATTTTGACAGCTAAAGTGCATTATTGTTCTGGTCTGGGGGTGTCAGCACAAAACATAGCCCACCTATTAAGTTTCATTAGAGACAGACTTGTGGCATGCCACACCTAGATTATCAAGCAGATTATATTTAATGTATAAACTGATTATGAGGATCTCAGTTCTTAAATCAATTATATTTTAAACAAAAAGGGAGCTACATGACATCTACTAAACATTTCATTAACAATAGCTGAGCAACTCTAGTAGAAAAAGGTACGTGCTGTGCATTCACTGAAGGAGACTAATGAAGTCCACTTCCCTATGCTGCTGATCCATCAACGATATTGCAGATACCTGCTGATGTAACAAATAATTAGCTAGATGCCACTTACTCTTCTCCATTGCTTGGGAATGCCTCAGTAGTTTTCCATCTTGCCCAATGAGCATTTGTCCGTTCCAACTGTCCCTTGCACAAGTTTCCTGTGCATCTTTAAGTGCCACTGGAAAGTCGGCGACTGTGCAGGTCCCTGCTGTGTTTCCCTTCCACATGCTATCCATGTAGGCCTGGGCACCTCGGAAGAGGAGCTCCTTGGTCTTCTCTGGGAGACAGCAACAGGGATGGGAAGAAGAGGGGCACGTTAAGGACAGCCCTAAAGAGGGGCACACTGGGAACTCATCCTAGGCCTGGAAGGAGGAGTTTGTAAAGGGTCAGTGTCGATTTCGCCTTAGGCATGGAAAGCCACAGAAGACCCGCTTCCCTGGACAGCTGCAATGGAGGGCTGGGCGGGGTAGGAAACGCGCTGTTGCGGGGCTAGGAGTTGGCATGAAGGACGCTTCCTGGGCACATGTTGCCAGGGGACGTTGACAGCTGCAGCTTTTTGACTCTCAACATCGGCTGCCATCAGGACGTTACCGCCTGACGCCCCCATCACGCCCCCCATGGGGCTGACCTCCAACCTCACAAACCCAGCCCGAGCGGGACGAGACAGACCCAGGCCCCGCAATCCCCGCCTGCCCGGAGCAACACAAGCCCGCCCCGCCCCCCGGGGACTCCCGCCCGGGGCAGCCGTGGGGGCGCTATAACCCGCCCCGCGCGCTCCGCGCCCGGGCCCTCACCGAAGAGCTCCCGCCGGTACTTCTCGCCCAGGGCGCCCCGACTCAGCTCCCGCAGCCCCACGCGGGTTTTCAGCTGCAGCGGGGCCGTGTCCCCGAAGGGGCAGGAGCGCTTCGGCATCCCGGCCCGGCGGCGGAGGGACACCGCGGGCGCCGCCGCGCTCCGACACCCCGCAGGGACGCGCTGCGGAGGAACCTGTCTGAGGCCGAGCGAGCCTGAAGCCGCGATCGCCCGAACCCTGCCCTGACCGCCGACGTCACCAAACTCCCGGCCAATCAAGGGAAGGGACTGGGGGCGAGGGGGAGGGGGCGGACAGGCAGCGGAAGAGTGGATGGGGCGGGGCTCACTAGCGAATTGCGAAATGGAGGGGGGGGGACTGGTCTGCTGAGTGGCCCGGCCCGGAAGGGGAAGGGGAAGCGGCAGCGGAGGGTCGTGGGGGCTGGGAGCCAGGACTCCTGGGTTCTGCCCTGGGTCTGGGGGTGTCAGGGAGCCTAGTGGGTAGAGCTAGGTGCTAAGACTCATGGGTGCTGCTCTGCCCTTTTGGGTGGCCAGGGGCCTAGAAGATAAAGCTGTGGTCCAGGACTTCTAGGCTGGGTTTGTGTAAGTCATTTCCTTTCTGTGCCTCAGTTACCCATCTATAAAATGGGATGAAAAGGAGAACTTTAATGATCCTCAGGTGAATCAATACTATGGAAGCATAACTGCTCACCAACCCTCTGCTCCCTCTCAGGGCATAGAATCCTGTAGACACCCTCCTCCCCCAATCAGGTACAGTAACCTGCTCCTAACTCTGCTGAAAATTTCTTACTTCTCTATTTTCTAATAATACTCTTTGCTAAGGGCCTAGACCTGCCAGGTGCTGAGTACGTAAAGGGAGTTCATGATAAGATCCTAGGTACATGGAAGGCATTCAGCACCTTGCAGTCTTGAGCCTTTGTGTAGCACCTTTCTGAGGATGTCCCTATGCTTTACAAAGGTGGGTAAATATGAGATCAGTGGGAGTATGATCATCATTCCCATCATGCACCCAGTCAGTACTCAGGCCAGGGAAGCTAATGGTCCAACAAAACAGATGAAATTCGGTGATGAATTCTGGTCAAGTGCCACTTGTGGCCTGTTGCATGTATGCTAAGATAGCATACGTCAGGTGAAGGTGTAATAATGCAATCAAATTCTGCTTGAGATTTGGATTCTTACATCAGATGAAATGAGAAATCAAACAAAAAGTTAAGAGTTATGTTCTGGTAGAGGAGGGTGATTCTAAAACTCTTGATCTTAGAATAAGAAATAGGGTTGACAGTGAACAGCATGTGCTACAACTGCACAGCAGAATCTTTCATTTAAGGGCAGAATTTAGGGCATTTTGCCTCGAGGTTGACATATGATATTGTCAAGATGTTCTGTTATGATTATCTTTGCAATATGCTGCCATCACCCCATTCCAGGGCAAACACAGAATTCTTCTGTTGCAACCATTAGATTCTGCCTCAGGTGCTGACATCTCTTCTTTAATTGCTTCACAAGCCTCATCCTTGACAACATCTGCTAGTGATCAGGCATCTTCAATTTGTAGGCTAAAAGGCAAAATAATTCTGTCTCATCTGCCTCCACATGGCTTGGTGTCCTGTAGGGAGAGAGTTGGTTCATCTGCTAGTCCGTTGACTCTTCACCCAATAGAATGATCCAGGAGTACTTTTATTAATCTCACTGCAATATGCCTTGAGGAAGATCCACTGGTGACGTGGAAACAAAAGAGAAGACTGTGATCTGATCTGGCAAAGCTTGCTAGCATCTAACGTTCATGAAAATTAATGGTGACAATTTCCCAGTTAGTTGAGAGTCTGTGTTATGTTATTCTAGTTCTGAATGTGAAAAAACAAACAGACTACCAATAGTAATTGGGAATATGTTAATTTGGTTTATCTTTGAAAACATGTTTGTGAAAGAAAGCTAGGCAGCAAGAAAGAAAATTAGACAATCCTATTTTCAATGTGCTCTTCTTCCAAGAATCATCTAGGCATATTTGTGTGTATTATGAAAAAATGGTTGGCTGAAAACTTTCTAACTCCTAAAACAAAGCAAATTTATTTTTTATTTTTACAGTTTCAGTATCTAATATGAAAACCACATTCAGGCCCATGCCACACAATTTACAGTCCAGCTTTCAAACACCCCTGAATTGTGAGCATGTTTGATTTGGGGTTCTGATTCTGTCCATTATGAAAATAAAGGTCATTTACAACATTTGTGCATAGGTGGAGATTATGAACACCTCAAAATTCAAAGGTGTTCATATCTATGACGTTCGTTCTTGTCCACCTGTAATATAAACAACACATTTATAAATGCTGGCATACCTCGGCTATGCCTTCAACATAAATGCCATCAACCACCCAAAGTATAATGGTATTTCTTGAAGTGTTATTACTTTATAAAATATTTTTGTTCCATTTTTGTTGCAATTGGCTAATAAATTGTAATCCTTGAGGTTATAAGAGATTTCTGAACTGTTCTAAGCTCATAAATATTGGACTCCCATGAACATTGGGGCCTTTAAAATATTCAACCTCTCTTTCCAGTTTCATCCATCCCAAACTCCACCTCCCCAAAAAAGTTTTTTCTTCATTCAATACTTTCCCCCTTGCATGTGTAATAAATATTCCTTATTTATTCCCCCTCTCACTGGAAGAGGACATCTTTAAAAACTGCTAAAAGCTGGGGGTCAAATTCTTGTATTTAGACCAGTATAAATCTCAAATTCCTTGAAGAGATCTGATTTGGATTTACAACAGTGTAAATGAATGCAAAATTTGGCCAATTGTTCGTTTCTTTTACCAGTAAATGTTGGTGTGACTGGGGTCCCAGGGGAGCCAACTGAGGTCACTCAATTAGGGTGAACTGCAAAGAATGGGGCAGACAATCCCCAAAGCTGGTGGATATTCCAATATCTAGATTTACCACGCCAGCACAAAACAGCTTCTATAATACCTCACTGGTTACACAGTTCACTTAAAGTAACCCAGCCTCAGGCCTCCACCCAGACACCCAAGTCAAATATGATGAGGATTACTGAAAATCTTACTCATCATATAAAAAAGTTCTACCAACCCCAAAGGATCAGACACATTACCTCCCAGGTTAATGAATATTCCAGATCTTACCCAAATAGATGCTTACAGCCAATTCTTATTAACTAAACTAAAATTTGTTAAAAAAGAAAAGGGAGACAGAATTGGTTAAAAGATCAGTATACATACAGACTGAGTACAATTCTTGAGATTCAGATTCATAGCAGAGATGGTGAGCTGTGTAGTTGCAAAGAGTTCTTTCAGAAATTGTTCATAGGTTATAGTCTAATATTTATATTCAGGGTGGTCCAGTCAGGACTGGGATCTCAGTCCTTATGGCTTAAGCTTTCCCTGCATGAAGCCTCAAGTAGAATCTGAGATGACAGGATCAGGACCCAAGGTTTTTCTACCAGTCACTTGACCATACAGTCCTAGGTGAACAATAGGCTTTTGATGTAACCTTCTGTTTCCTAAACCTCACCAGTCATTAACTACATGGATTAACATAAGATAATTTATCTATTAGGCAGTCTATCACAAACTTTAAAGAGACATATAGACAATGACATTATTGCATTCAAGATTCAGTTAAATGTTAATATTCCCGTTTGATCACTGAATCAATAGCTATAGTGACAGAGAGCAATTGTCTGTTTACATGGGTAATTATTAAACAAGATATAAGTAAACACACACAATTAGTATCACCTCTAATTCTTTAACAATACAAGTTTGCACTTCAAAGTTCTAGCCTATCTACCAGGGAATGGCCCTAATTACCATTCACATAATTTTTCCCCTACTGTTACTCACACCTTCTTGTCAACTGTTTGAAATGGGCCATCCTGATTATCACTACAAAAGTTTTTCTTCTCCTGCTGATAATAGCCCACCTTAATTGATTAATCTCGTTAGAGTTGGTATGGGAACACCCATTTTTTCATGTTCTCTGTATATATATATTTTGCTACTGTATTTTCCACTGCATGCATCTGATGAAGTAGGCTTTAGCCCACAAAAGCTTATGCCCAAATAAATTTGTTAGTCTATAAGGTGCCACAAGTACTCCTTGTTCTTTATAGTTTCTAACATGTCTTTAATGGTTGG